TGGGCTTTGGAGGGACTTTTGTGCTCCCCGAGGGACTTCCCAGACGCTGAATTTTCCTGTTCAGTCCCTCCATGGGGTTCATGCAGCAGTTTCAGCTCGGCTGGTGAGGGGAGGGGTATGCCCGTCCACCTCTCCTTCCCCTCAGGGTGGAGTAAGCGGTCGGCGTTAATGATTTGGCTCATGCCCACCCCACCTTCACTCTGCCTTCGGCCCCGCTCCCCTCCTGGGGTGCGTGGGATGGGGACAGCCGCTGGCTCTGGCTGGAGAGCTCCATTTCCTTTCACCTTCAGGGCAAGGAGCTCGAAGCCACTGTGACGAGGTTCTCTCGCATCTCTTCCAGGTCAGGATGTCAGGTATGTTCCTGCAAGTCTTTTCTCTTTTCGTCCCAGCCGTATTTTGGTTGTTGATGGCCACGTGCTGGTACAAGAGCATCCCCATGCCCTCACCCCCAGGTGCACCCACGGCGAGGGGTTGCCTCACCTTCATCAGGTCACGGTGATGCTCCAGCACGCTGCAGGTGGTCTGCCAAGTGTCCTGGTAGCATTCCCAGGGGTCCACCCTGTGGGGAGCACAGCAAAGCAACAATGTTGACCGATGGCCACTGCCTGGACCTCCTGGCCATGCCACCTCCTCCCCACCGAGCCAGCCAGCAGTGCCATGAGCAGCCACCATTGCTCCCCCAGCTCTGCCATGGACCATGTCCTTCCTCCAGCCCTTCCATCCAGTTCTCCCTAATAACTTTGGGGACCTGAACATGTGCCTGGACACCTCTCCACTCTCGGTACCCAGCTGACCAGCTTTTATTTGGCTTGGATGTAACTGCACGTGTTACCATCCTGCGTCCTGAGGGCAGCCCAGAGATGTTTCTGGTCCCACCTCAGCCACCAGACACCACGTGGCAATACCGGGAAGGGGACAATCAGTGGGCTGGTGCTGCAGGTGCAGAAAGGGAAGGTGCCACAGCACGAGGCTGGGGTGGGCCGGGTGACTTTGGGCCTCACGCAGACCCCACAGACTCAGATTGGGGCTTGCAAGACCCCCTGAAGCCAAAAGGCTCCCTTGAAGGTCGGTGCAACACTCCTCATCAGTTCTCTGCTGGACTAGGGGAGGAAGGCCTCTGGTTTTGAATCATGCTTTGGCTGGGAGAGGAGAAAGTCCATCCTGGAGCTCTAGCAGCTGCTGGCATCTCCACTTTGCGTGTGGGACTTTGCCATCAGGGTGCAG